TTCTTGTCCTTCATGTCCTCCTCTTCCTCCTCTTCTTCTTCCTCTTCCACCACATCTTTCTCCTCCTCCAATCGCCGCTGCTCCCCCCATCGCCGCCGCTGGCCCCAACGCCACCACCACTGCCTATGATGTCTTTAGCGCCTGTCTCTTATACACATCTATATGTATACTCTCTCTCTCTCTCTCTCTCTCTCTCTCTCTCTCTCTCTCTCTCTCTCTCTCTCTCATTCTACCCCCCCCCTCTCCCCATCAAAACGCTCGAACGGGAAGATATATTCTGCGGACGACTCTGTCCTCCTACCTCACAGCGCTTCCCCATTGGAGTACCCACAGCAGTGATGGACCACCACTCGAGTCTATGATGATGATGATGACGATGATACCCGTCGTTCAATAAAGGATGATGATGATGATGGCGATAGGAAATGCAGGTTCACATGCATCGGTCGTATACATCCATTATTTCGTCATGCTCCCTGCAGAACGGCAAAATTAACACCGGATAAGAAACGATAAATGAGGACAAGAAAGGGCAAGAAAGGATAACACCCAGTAAGACTGGATAAGATGATCGCAAAAATTGCAGAGTGAAAGAAATAAAGGAAGATAAAGAAAGGAAGAAAGCAAGAAAAAAAAAAAAGAAAGAAAGAAAGAAAGCAAGAAAGAAGTGAAGAAGCGGGGGCACTGAGTTCAATCCTTGTAATTATTCAGGCGCTGCACCTCAACTCCAGTTTAAATTTGCGAATTAACCGAAAAAAGATGCCGCCCCAGTGCGACCCCACAAAACAGATCCCGCCTCCACCGCCGCACTTGACGAACTTAGCCAAAAAAAAAATTAAAAAAAAATGAAGTTAAATAATACATAAAACTGACAGATTTCGGAAATTTATTGACGAAATTGGGCTTCCATATGGAAAGACCAATACTTTCAGCATTTTTGTGCTCCCTATACATCGGACCATTGACAGTCTGGACTCTGGAGTTCCCCCAGACTATCTGATGTATCTCGACGTAACGGACCGTCAAAATACATCCAAGAGTCCAAAAGCAAATGACAAAAAACTCGGGTACATCGTCTACCGGCCCCAAGACGCCAAGCTTATTATCAACAGTCCAATGTGGCGGGGATGCAAACATGTCAAAAAATATTGGATTTTATCCTCGATAAACCAAATTTCGTGAAAATTCAACAAAAATGTCAGTTTTAACTAAATGGCTATCTTGTATGAATTAGTGCTGTAAATATTGTCAGATGCATGTCATCCATCCACCCATCCAACAAAGGATGTATGTAGGAGGGAACAGAGCATTTGAAAAAACGGCACACATACAATGATGGAGAAAGAGAAAAGTAATGTGGGAGAGAGGGAGTGATGCTAATGCTCTGTAGTAGCTTGTACGCTCCTATCTAAAGAGGGGGCGAGAGGGAACAGAGAATAATCACCACTCCCTCTCCCCCGCATTCCTTTTCTTTTTCTCCATCATTGTATGTGTGCCTTTTTTTCGTTTCAATGACAATGCCATTCTTCTTTTCTCTGTATGTTCCAATTTTGACGAATGTCCTGGTGCTGGTGGACATCATCTGCTAAAATTGGACCGTCCGTTCGAAATGACGCAGAGAAGACTAAATGCGAACAACGACACTGAGAAGGCTCTCATATCTCCCCAAGAGAAGATCCCAATTCAGAGAAAAAGCAGAAAAGAAAGAAAAATGAAGACGAGAAAGAAGAGCAGAGCAGCTCTGTGATCAGGGGAAAAACGAGGAGAAGAACGGGTGATGATAATATACAGCATGGCGACATAAATGATGAAGAAGACAGAGATGAAAATTGCGAAGATTTTGGAGGCAGAGAGAGAGATAGCACGCGCGCGCGCGCGCGCGCGCGAGAGAGAGAGAGAGAGAGAGAGAGAGAGAGAGAGAAGGCCTCTGAGAGAGAGAGAGAGAGAGA